GTTTAAACATCAAAGTGAGTCCCCAGACACCGGGACATCAATCCAAAAGATTCATGAGCCGTTGGAATGAAATTCTGTTTAACTGTTCAATCCAGCTACTTCAACTGTTACTTTCTTTTACAACCACAAATTACAAACAAATTGTAAATGAAATATCAGATATCATTAACAATAGTAACATTTCACGTGACGATTTACCAATAATTAAACGTCGCCTCGCAGATATTGAAAAAATTGAACTATCCAAACATAAAGAAAAACAAAGGAATAAATTTCAAAGAGATAAAATTCACACTGTCTATTTAAATCAGAATATGAATGATATCAATACAACAAACCATAAGGTCCCTAGAAAAAGAAAATTCAAAAGACGGAAACAAAAAACTGAAAGCATTGTTGTAAATTTGTCATCTAAAGAACTTACACGTGCTGAAGAATCTCTTTTAAGTAAAGGTTTAAACTTCTGTCCTATCCCATCAAATGTAAATAACTTTCAGCTAGACGAGGACTTAGACCAATTCGCTAGACGTTTACGCTTGAAAGATTTTTTCTACAATAGGGGCAAGAAAAACCTTGAAGAAGCTGGATTAACAGATTCAGATACTGACACCAATGAAGAAGTCACGCCCATCCCAAAATTTAAGAAAAAAAGTTCATGGAAACCACCTAAGAGTAAAAATGATAACTTGGAGTCATTCATTAACTACGTGAGGTCTGATATAAAGTCCTGTATAACAAATACAAGAAATTATAATTTATCCAAGTCAGAAAGCATTGCTTTGAAAGCGTTAAAAGATCAAGAGGATATCGTAATAAAACCTGCCGACAAAGGGGGCGCTGTGGTTGTCATGAATAAAACAGATTACATAGCAGAGGGAAATCGCCAACTTTCAAACTCCATTTTCTATAAACAATTAACCACAGATCCAACACTAAATAATATTCGAAGGATCAACACCATCCTTCAAGAGATGTTCGACAAAAAGCATATAGACAATGACACCTTTGATTATCTCCGACCTCTTGAGAACGAAGCAAAGGCCGGAAGATTCTATATGTTGCCTAAAATACATAAAACGGGCAATCCAGGTCGACCAATTGTTTCAGCAAATAGTCATCCAACTGAAAAGATATCAGAATTTTTAGACCATCATCTAAGACCTCATGTGAAAGAACTACCCTCTTACATCCAAGATACGACTGATTATCTAAAGAAAATGGAAAGCCTCAATCCTCTACCAAGCAATACTATACTTGCATCCATGGACGTGTCTTCTTTATATACCAACATTCCACAAGACGAAGGAATAGCAGCGTGTGAAGAGGTATGGAACACTCGTAGTGAAAAAAATCCTCCAACTGAGTGCCTTGTTACACTTCTGAAACTAGTGCTAGAGAACAACAACTTCTCTTTCAATGAAAAACATTATCTCCAGATAGACGGTACTAGTATGGGCACAAAAATGGCCCCGTCATATGCCAACATATTTATGGGCCAACTTGAAAAACGCCTCTTGGCTAGTGCTCCATACCAGCCCTTATCATGGTTCCGATTCATTGACGATATTGATTTCAAATGGACAGATTCACAAGAACATCTTAATGAATTTCTAGGACACTGTAACTCTTTCCACCATTCAATAAAATTTACATATGAATCATCTATGGAGAAAATAAACTTCCTCGACACTACGAGTTACATCAAGAACGGAACCATTATAACGGACCTTCATACCAAACAAACGGACAAACATCAATTCCTTTCTCCTAAAAGTTGCCATCCTAAACACTGCTCCCGTGGCATCCCATTCAGCCAGGCATTGCGAATCAAGAGAATATGCTCTACTGAAAATACACAAAATGCTAGACTTGGACAACTACGTAAACATCTAGTTGTTCGAGGATACAATAACAACATCATTGATAGCGCTTTCGAAAGAGCAAACAAAACTAGTCGCCAAGAACTTCTAGAGTACAAAGATAAGAATAAAGCAGCTAACAGAACACCCCTTGTACTCACTTACCATCCTGATTTTAAAAATGTGTCTTCCATTGTTCAGAAGCATTGGAAAATTATAGAAAATGATTCAAATCTTAAAAAAAGTATTTTCCTCACCACCAGTCATGGCCTTCAGAAGACCTAAAAACATCCGTGACAAATTAGTGACATCTGTATTAGCAAAGCAGCCTACTCCATCTCCCGGTTGCTACAAACAATGTGGTCGAAGGAACTGCTTGTGTTGTAAAGCTGCCAATACAAGCAGTTCTTTCATCAGCTCCGTTACTAAACAAAATTATACCATCTACTCAAATTCCAACTGTAAAACGGAGAACTCAATTTATATATTAACATGTGACACATGTGGCATTCAGTATGTGGGAGAAACAATGGACAAATTTAATATTCGGCTCAATAACCATCGTTCATGGTACAAAACCAACAAAAACTGTCCTCTCACAAGACATCTTCGTTCAACGAAACATTCTTTTGATAATGTTACCTTCCAAATTATAGAAGTCAACACCGAGTGGGACACCACGGCGAGAAGGAGAAGAGAAAATTTTTGGATCCACCAACTCCACACTTTAGAACCTGATGGTCTTAACGAAAAAGATGAGAAAAGATACAGGAAAGATAAAGAATAATTTAGTACACAGCACCGTCCTTTTTATCCTGTAATATTGGCCAATGGACGTTGCTAACTTCAACTACCAATTTTGTAAAAATCTTGAACTTCATCCAAATTATGTATTATTTTCAAGGCAGCTAAATTCAAGTGCAACATATACATTGAGCTGCAAAAGTTTCTTATCATCTACATCCGATTTCACCTGGATAGATACACGCTTGATAAAGCTAGTTAGTCTAGCGAAATATTGCGTTTATTTTCATCATTTTGTAAATATTTTAAACATTCTTATATTTACATACTAAATAGTGTGTTAAAATTACATTGTTAGGCAATCTATATATATATATATATATATATAACACTAGGCCAATGAAAGCTGAATTTTTAGTTCAGTCTAGGTGGCCAAGTGGTCTAGAGCGCTGGACATAGTGCAGGCGGTGTTGTCTCGATATCCCAATAGCATCAATTCAAATCCCGGCTATGGAAGAACAAAAATTTGCTTCCGCAAATTTGCAGATTTAACATTGTTTATATATATATATATATGTATGTCTGCCTATGTGTAGTGACAACTGTAAATTATACCTTGTCCATCATATTTCTTATGATAAAGAAATAACAGGCATTGGAATATTTATAAAGTGCCTAGAAAATCATTCTACAATGTTAGAATAGATCTGATTCTTTACTTCCACCCCGACCGGGGCTGGAACCTGTACTTTTCACTTCATACTTCTATGACATATATAGGTGTCTGTGCAATGCTAGGCGGTGTTGTCGTAGAAGTGAAAAGTGAAAGGTACAGGTTTCAGCCCCACTTGGGGAGGAAGTAAAGAATCAGATGTACTCTAACATTGTTAAGTTGATTTTCTAGGCACTTTCTAAATATTCCAACACCTGGTATTTCTTAATCATAAGAAATCCGATGGACAAGGTATAATTTGTAGTTGTCACTACTCATAGGCATATATATATATATAAGTCTGAAAATTAAACCCAACAGTGTTAGAATTAGATTTTTATGCTGACAAATTTTTGTCCCTCAATGGGATTTGAACTCACACCTTTGATACACTACAGCACCAATCGCTTAGCCTCATGTCCAGCGCTCTAGACCATTCGACCATATCTGCTATTAAAAATATAACTTCAATAGTCGTAGTGTTACCTTGTCACGTAAGGCGAATCTAGAGATAGACATAAGACATGTATATATATATATATAAATTTAGCCCTGATATTTATTATGAGGTTTTTTTTCTCAAGGTTGAGCAAATTTCATCTAAGCATGTTAAGGAAAAGGGTTTCAGTAGGTAAAAATATATGAATTCGAGTACCGATCTCGGGTTAAGCACAGATTTACTGGAAAATTGTTTTATTCTAAGTTTCATTCCCGAGCCCATATTATTTAGGAAGCACAGCAGCAGGGAAGTTTTTTGTCGAAATACCCGAAAAGTTGAAAGCTGAACAGGATGAAACAAAAAATTTTAAAATATGAAAAAAGAGATATAGAGGATTTAATAAATCTTGTAAAAAGGACTTCAAGGGAATCGCACATAGATTGGATTATTTTCAATTATTTTAAAGGACAGACAAATTAGTTATGGCAAATTAGGCAAAACAAGAATGTGTCAATAGTACACGGATGCCCCACTCACACTCTCATTTTCTATGTTCAGTGGACCGTGAAATTGGGGTCAAAACTCTAATTTGACATTAAAATTAGAAAGATCATATCATAGGGAACATGTGTACTAAGTTTCAAGTTGATTGGACTTCAACTTCATCAAAAACTACCTTGACCAAAAACTTTAACCTGAAGCGGGACAGACAGACAGACGAACAAACGAACAAACGGATGTACAGACCTAAAAACATAATGCGCCTCTACTATCGTAGGTGGGGCATAAAAATTAAACACAGAAAACTACAAAAAATATTATGTTATGACTTAAAACCAAATATTTTTCTTTTGGGTTGCTCTTAGGTCACTGGTGAAGAGGTGTTGTTCAAGTGGCTAGGTTCAACACTTTCAGAAATCTGCTACATTTCATTCCTTTTTGACTTGCACTTAACTGATTTTAAATCCATCAATGGCAGTTTAAAACTTTTTAAGCAAGAACAAAATTTGGACAAATGGTTTTCACTTTATGACAAGTAATATATCATAGTCACTTGCCCAAAGGACAAGTTGATAAAAAAAAATAATGTCAAACCCTGAGTTTTGTTCTTTGATAAAACAGTACGGTGACCTGTAGTTGCTTACATCTCCATCATTTTGTCTTTGAGTAATTGTCTCATTGTCAATCATACCACCTTTAATTTTCTTATAAAGGAAAAATAATAATATTGTTATATGACTGGTACCTTTGGATGATGATCCCCATACACTTGTACCATACGTATTGGATGTATCAGTTGCATGACTACCTCTCACAGATGACACTGCTGGCTTCCTGTAAATAATAACAACTTGCTTTGTATAAACATTTAAATCACAGATATTCAATGTCAAAATGAATACATAATTTTTTAGGGTTCACGATTGGCTTTGCCCATGTCACCAATTATGTTTTAATTAGCGACAGATTTTTATGTCTACATTACATGAACAATTAAAAAAGTCCTCATACAGAATTTAAAACATTAGCAACAAACTTATCGTTGACTGAAAAACTTTAACTTAAGACAGTATCTAAATTTTAACTGTAATCACGATTTCATATGTGGCACCATCCCTTGCCCATTGAATGTTTGGTTGAAAAGTAAGAAATATGGTATATAATGAATATTTCACTAAAAATATTTGTGGGCGAGAGGTGGTGCTAGTGTAAATTTTTCAGAAAACTGTCATGAATTTTGCCAAATTATGCAAAAAATTCGTAAGGGTTCCGCGGAACCCAGTGTCTCGCCTACTTTTGCTGTTAATCGCAGGCTCAACACTAGAGGCTCTAAAGAGCCTGTGTCGCTCACCTTGGTATATGTGCATATTAAACAAAGGACACAGATGGATTCTGACATGACAAAATTGTGTTTTGGTGATGGTGATGTGTTTGTAGATCTTACTTTACTGAACATTCTTGCTGCTTACAATTATCTCTATCTATAATGAACTTGGCCCAGTAGTTACAGTGGAAAATATTTTGTAAAAATTTACAAAAATTTACAAAATTTATGAAAATTGTAAAAAATTGACTATAAAGGGCAATAACTCCTTAAGGGGTCAATTGACAATTTTGGTCATGTTAACTTATTTGTAGATCTTACTTTGCTGTACATTATTGCTGTTTACAGTTTATCTCTATCTATAATAATATTCAAGATAATAACCAAAAGCTGCAAAATTTTCTTAAAATTACCAATTCAGGGGCAGCAACCCAACAACGTGTTGCCTGATTTGTCTGAAAATTTCAGGGCAGATAGATCTTGACCTAAAAAACAATTTGATCCTGTCATATTTGCTCTAAATGCATTGGTTTCAGAGATATGAGCCAAAAACTGCATTTTACCCTATGTACTATTTTTAGCCATGTCGGCCATCTTGGTTCGCGGGCGGGGTCATAGGACACATTTTTTAAACTAGATACCCTAATGATGATTGCGGACAAGTTTGGTTAAATTTGTCTTAGTAGTTTCAGAGGAGAAGATTTTTGTAAAAGATTACAAAAATTTACGAAAAATGGTTAAAAATTGACTATAAAGGTCAATAACTCCTTAAGGGGTTAACTGACCTTTTTGGTCAAGTTGACTTAATTGTAGATCTTACTTTGCTGAACATTATGATGTTTACAGTTTATCTCTATCTATAATAATATTCAAAATAATAACCAAAAACTGCAAAATTTTCTTAAAATTACCAATTTAGTGACAGCAACCCAACAACAGGTTCTCCGATTCATCTGAAAATTTCAGGGCAGATAGATCTTGACCTGATAAACAATTTCACCCAATGTCAGATTTGCTCTAAATGCTTTGGTTTCAGAGATATAAGCCAAAATCTACAAAATGTTCTATTTTTAGCCATGGCGGCCATCTTGGTTGGTTGACCGGATCACCGGACACATTTTTTAAACTAGATACCCCAATGATGATTGTGACCAAGTTTGGTTAAATTTGACCCAGTAGTTTCAGAGGAGAAGATTTTTGTAAAAGTTAACAGACGACGCCGTACGACAACGACGACGACGACGATGATGACGGACGCAAAGTGATGAGAAAAGCTCACTTGGCCCTTCGGACCAGGTGAGCTAAAAAATGAGGAAAAAAATTAATAAAAATATTCCTCTCTATACTATCTTTTGATTGTAAGTAGCTTCTGTCCAAGTTTGGTAAAAATCCAGGATAGTTAATGAATCTAATAAATGTTTTAAAAACTTAAACTGCAGACTGTATGTAATGTTAACTGGAAGAAAAACTAAGTCCATTTATTAGTAAAATACAGAAAAAATGGAACAAAATTTTAACAAAATTTCCTTCTAGATACTAGTTTTTAATCATAAACAAGCTTCTGTCCAAGTTTGGTACAAATCCAGGATAGTTTAAGAAAGTTGTTAAAATTTTAAAAACTTTAACCACAGAGTGAATGTAATGTTAACTGGCAGAAAGAACTAAGTCCATTTATAAGTAAAATACAGAAAAAATGGATTTTTTTTTTTTACAAAATTTACTTCTGGATACTGTCTTATGATCATAAACAAGCTTCTTTCCAAGTTTGGTAGAAATCCAGGATAGTTTAAGAAAGTTATTAAAATTTCAAAAACTTTAACCACAGAGTGAATATTTGTGGACACCGCCGATGACTACGACGACGCCGACGGAATGTAGGATCGCTATGTCTCGCTTTTTTCACAAAAGTCGAAGGCTCGACAAAAATCAGTTTTTAACAAAATTCACCTTCACTTATGATGTCACAAATACATCACTAATGTTGCAATTGGTGAAAATCTTTTTTCACTGAAACAATTGGGACATTTTAAATTATGTTTTCATCAAATTTTCACAACATTATTGCAGTTAAAAAATTTCCGATTTTAAGGGTCAACATTACTAGTTAGTGAACCAACTCCTCTGTACAAGATAATTAACTTACTTCACTGGTTGTTGTTTCTTTTGGGGAGATTCATCTTCAACTGGAGAAACATCCCAGTCACTATCAGAAAAATCATCCTGAATTAAAGGGAAAGATTTTATTTCACATAATCATAAATATCTCTCTGCAACAACTTATAGTCATAATTATTAAATCTCCTGTAGTAATGACTTCTGCTCATTGTACTCAACAAACAAACATTGTTGTTTGTCATAAGTTTTCTTTAATTAGAAAAGCCACAAACAGAAACAGAAACAAAACAGAAAAACAAAAGGAAAGGTTATTCACTATTGTTTTGTCTTCACTGTGTGTTTTTGTCATATACTGATCATTTTCCTAGTAACTTGTTCTTATATCTTGATTTCAGATGCTTTCTAGTTCTGTTATTTTGTGTGTTTTGTTTGTTATTTGTCTACAGTTTGTGTGTTTTGTTTGTTATTTGTCTACAGTTTGTGTGTTTTGTTTGTTATTTGTCTACAGTTTGTGTGTTTTGTTTGTTATTTGTCTACAGTTAGGGATCTTCAACTTTCTTCATAAAGGATATGTTATAAGCAAAGACTTAGAAATTTTGTAAACAGGTTCTGAACTAATGTTTTCTTTTGTTTTCAGAGGTTGAATACAATAATAGGATAGACTTTAAAAACATACCAAAACATCAGGTTGTTTAGAAGATTTAGATGGACCACCTAATCCCATGATGTCAACAGCACCTGCTCTTTTCTGCCCATCTTTTCTTCCCTGCAATACAAAGTGATATTTCAAATTTCAATTCCTCTTATTTACCTCAAAATGTTCAATATTACAATTAGAGGCATTGATTCGAATCATGTTAATATTCTTATTGCTGTAACCCAATAGATCTACGTAGCTTAATACTATAAAGTCAAAATTTCTGAGAAAAGTTACATGTGTTGTTGTGCTAATCATACCCAAACTGATACTTCTAAGTATGGGAACTCAGGAAGCATGTGTTTGACAGTGCATAAATGCAGTCACAGCTTTCAACTTACCACTGTCAAGCTGCTGATCAAATAAAGAAGCTATTCTGTTTAGTAGTACTGGAGAAATGTGTGACAAAATTATTAAGGTCGTTCAACATATTAAACATGTCATGAAGCAATTCAAATGTGAACTGTGTAGAGATTTTGCATTTAAATTTTCCAATATGCAGAAATGGTAAAATCCATGTTTTCCTATGGGAAACTCCTTAAAATCAATCTGATCAAATACTTGACTAATGAGGTCCACAACTACATTTGGTATGAAGTATGACCCAACCCATGATCACAACTTGAGTTTAGTTGCAATCCATTCTAAAGAAGTGTTTACGATTTTGCACTGAATTTTTTTTTGACAGGCAGTCTGACCTTTAATTCAACATTTCCCCTTTTCCTCATGTAAGGAAGACTTTAAAATTACTTTTTGTTATATATTGTACCTTTCTTGGTTAATGCACACTATTTTGTTAATTGGTTAATGCACACTATTTTGTTAATTGGTTCAAAATTCATCTACCATCAAATATTCATTCAAATGCAATGACCTAATTTACTGTATCATACTTACAGCCAACTGGTGCTCAATAGTTCTTGATAATTCTGCAACCTTTTGACCCTTACCAGGTGATGTCGACATACCAAAACTTTGTTGCTGAGGAGTTCTTCTCACAGGTGCAGTACTTGCTTTTGGACCTAGTTCACTAAGAATTTCAATGCATACATTCAATTTGTGTACATTATCAAATTAGAAATCTTACAAAATAAGAAACAGTGACCCTCCTTCACAAAATTGTCAAGGTAAAGAACAGCAATAATTTTTACATGTAATTTCATCATAGTTTTGAGAAATAAATCCAATGTAAACATCCTGTTTTTATATTTCGTGTGCTTGTACAACTTTGACCCAAACAACAATATTATGTCGTTTAATATAACTTTCAACGACTAATACAAAATCAATTAGGCATACTGGTACTCTTAGTCTTGGACTTTTCTTTGGAAAAGTATAATATAATCTTTTATTTTTTTGTGTTATGATGCTGTCTCGTTGACAAATACTGTTTCTCTCCTTTAATTTATGTGTTGTCACTAATGACTTTAGTCTTCCCGCCAGAACTTATACTTTGGAAACAGCCTTCAGGTATACTTCACCATGAATTTAAACTTAGGTTTCAATATTGTTTTACCTCATATCTTCTGAGTCATCCCAGTCATCATCACCATCATTCGCAAGTGGTTTAGACATAATAACTTGTGACCTTGGTGCTGCCACAGGTTGTGTTTGTTGTTGTGGTTGGCGAGCAGGACTAGATGGCACACGTCTTACTTGCTGGAATGCTGGTTGGTTCTCACTCTCATCATCATCATCATCTTCTGAATCCCACTGTGTACTGGTCCAGTCAATACTAGAACTAAAGTTTCAATTTGTATAATAATGTGTACTGTTCCAGTCAATACTAGAACTAAAGTTTCAATTTGTATAATAATGTGTACTGTTCCAGTCAATACTAGAACTAAAGTTTCAATTTGTATAATAATGTGTACTGCTCCAGTCAATACTAGAACTAAAGTTTCAATTTGTATAATAATGTGTACTGTTCCAGTCAATGCTAGAACTAAAGTTTCAATTTGTATAATAATGTGTACTGTTCCAGTCAATACTAGAACTAAAGTTTCAATTTGTATAATAATGTGTACTGGTTAATTCATTAATAGAACTAAAGTTTCAATTTGAATAATAATGTGTACTGTTCCAGTCAATACTAGAACTAAAGTTTCAATTTGTATAATAATGTGTACTGTTCCAGTCAATACTAGAACTAAAGTTTCAATTTGTATAATAATGTGTACTGGTTTAGTCAATACTAGAACTAAAGTTTCAATTTGAATAATAATGTGTACTGTTGCAGTCAATACTTGAACTAAAGTTTCATTTTGTTTAATAATGTGTTCTGTTCCGGTCAATACTAGAACTAAAGTTTCAATTTGTATGATAATGTGTACTGGTTTAGTCAATACTAGAACTAAAGTTTCAATTTGTATAATAATTTCTATTTTTTTTTCACTGTAAAATTATTATAGCACATGGGTGCAAAAGTCAAGTTATAATTCAGGGTCAGAAACAAATCTCAGGTGAGTTGACAAATTCCGAATGACAACTACAAAAACTGATTCCATTAACAGGTATGCCTTTGACCACAGACTTTAAAGTCAATAGGTGTCATCTTTACCCTATGCGTCATTTATATCAAAATTAGGTTTGTCAATATTTTTTATGGGCTCAAAAACTTTGTTTTGGATGAATGGCACATAGAGGGGTATTCATCATATCATAATCTCAAATATGCTGCAATTGGGCTTAAAGCATTCAGGTTTGACTTGTTTTTATCAACTGATACAATAGACAGGTTTATAATTCTTTACATTCCAAAGCAATTTCTTAATTTTTTTACACACTTAAAATTCTTCTTGTGTAGTAGAATGGTAGTACCAGGTGTTTTAATGAGAAGACTAATTTGTACAAATTCTATTAAAACATAAATTTTTTTGTTCATATGGCTTCTTGTGTGCAGCTGAAAAAAATTAAAGTTTGAAAAATGTAAACATCTATTTACTTTGATGAGTTTTTACTATCTTTTAAAAGTTTATGACATGCCAAGACACAACTGCAACCAATCTCTCTAAGAACTATATATAGGCAGAATAATGAAAAGAATTGGTACGTATTTACCCTGACTGTCCAGTTCTCTGTGGACTAGCCATTCTAGGAGCTGGCTTAGGAAGTTGTTGACTGGGGACTGGTTGAGGTGTACGTTGCTGACTAGTTACTGTTTGTCTCTGTGGTGAAGTTCCAGGTGCTGTAGGTCTCTGTGGCGATGTTCCAGGAGTTCTAGCTGGAGATGCCAAAAACATTGCAGCTGTGCCACCAGACTGCTGAGGCTGAGATCGAGGTAATGAAGTACTAGGATGAGGTCTAGGCGGCATATGGCTTCTCGGAGCTGTGATTAAGAAAAAATGTATCATATATATATATATATAGATATGGTATCCTATTGGACTAATTGTAGGCAGGGGTTGGATTTAAGAGACAAATCCATGAAATTAAGAAAAAAACATAGTTTCAACATATTTGATTTGAAAACTTGATATTCAAAATATGATTATAGTATAAAAAAAGGGTATATGGAAACAAGATTGTCCTTATATTAATTCATCACCCTTTTAACGTTAGTGGAAACACCTTTTGCACATATGCAAAGGGTGGCTAAGTTGAACTAAGCTTTAAGCATGACTTTCAATGTACAGTGTAAATGCTTGTATGTGACACACTTTCTGGTAGTAGTGAATAATCATACCAAGTTTCATTACAGAACTCAGGGTTTTAAATTAAAGATTGAAACAATTTGTGATGGACAGATGCACAGACAAGCTGATAGGTCTTCTGCCATTTAATTGACAGGGCCCTAATCAAGTCATTAATAATCATTTTTTTTTAAATAATTTAACTTAGTTGAATGAATGGTAAATAACTAACCTGGTGGAGGTGATCTCTTCATTTGTTTCAGTTTTTCTCTGGCTTGTTCTTCTGCTGCTGCATCATACTGTCTACGGAAGTCAGGGAATACTGGGTATTTCTACAAAACATTCAGGTTTAGTCAGAGGTAAGTCACCTACTGTTTGCCTGTTTTTGTAACTGATTTATAATTTAAGTTTGGTTATATGTGTATACTTAACTGTAAAAATATAATAATAAGAAAATGAAACACCTTAAATACATGTCACCAAAAGCAATCGAACATATAAAATGGTCTACAGCAAATTTTGGTATGGACCAAAGTAATCTCCATTACAAAAGAGCACTAAAAGTTCTTAACTGTTGTCTTTGTTGGTCACTGTATTCAAAATTACCTGCTGAGTTGATTGCCTTCTTCCTCTTAGTATTTGCAGTTTATTCCTTAAGATGTCATCTGGTAATCCTCTTGTTTCCTGAAAAATTGTCATTAAAAGAAATAAAAAAATTGATATTTCTTGATTTAAAAGTTGACAAGAAACCTGATTTAATTCTGAAAGTATGGAGTATATATATCAGTTCAAACAAATGTAAGTTTCTTCTTTACACACAATTTGGTAGATTGTACTTTTTACTTCTTTTCTTGAATGTTCATTAAACCATTAGGCAGATAGTTTTTAATGCTTTCCTTTATGGAATTCTCATTTAAACTTATCAAATATTTAAAAAGTAAAATGATAATATCATTAATCAATTTTGAAAGAATTCAAAGCTTCTGGTAAAGCATTTGAACTTCTCCTTTGAAAAAGGTTTAAATACAAAAAATAAATCCGTTCATGTGGTTTTTTTTTAGTTAGTTAATTTTTTTTCAATGAAACAAAACTCATAAGCACTGCCTTTACAGGGATGTCAGGCACTCTAGAGTAATAACTTAATCTGAAATTAAACTTACAGGTGGAACACCAATTTTCTCAAGCTGATCTTGTAACAGTTGTACCAGTTCATCCCTCATTACCTTCAGTGTTGGGTTCTTTCGTAGTTCTTCTAAGAACTGTTGTGTCCTCATGGTGATCTCTCCACTTCTGTAAGTTCTGTTAATTACAAATAATTCAATATGGATTACATCATTTAACGGATACAAAATAAATGTGGATAGTGTCCACATGTGGACACAGATGATGCCCCTGCTTGCATATCATATAGTTATAAAGGGACATAACTGAAGAAAGGTAAAAGTGACGCTACCCAAATTTGAACTTAATCTGAGTTTTGTGGTAATAAGCATTGTGCGTAAGTCTCATAACATTTGGTTGAGGCTAACTTAAGTAGTGAACAGAAACTAAAAATTCAGCAATTTTTCTATTTGTAAACACGCAAAACTCTAGAATGTTTGTTTATAAGGTTTATAACATTTGGTTATAACAATTTTTATGTTTATAAAGGGACATAACTCCAGAATGGTAAAAGTGTCGCCACCAAATTTCGTACTTAATCTGTATTATGTAGTAATAAGCATTAAGTATAAGTTTCATAACATTTGGTTGAGGCAAACTAAAGTTAGAAAACGGAAACAAAAAATTTGTACTTGATCTTAGTTTTGTGGTAAGGAATATTGTGTATAGGTTTCATAATGTTTGGTTGGGGCAAACTTAAGTTACAGAATGGAAACTAAAAATTTTGCAATCTTTCGATTTATAAAGGGGCATAACTAAAATAATGGTTAAAGTGACACTACCAAAATTCAACTTGATCTGTGTTTTATCAGTGGATGTCAAAATTAAACATTGCATCGTATAAAGCATTGGTTGTAGTTGATTCAACTATTATCATGGACAAAGGAAGATAACTCCAATTTTAATAAAATGCTTCGCTGAGCGCAGCCTGATACGACCGCAGAGGTCGAACCCTGAACAGTTGGGGCAAATTTGGACACAATATTCAAGCTTGATACTGTCTGAATTTGGATTGTAATCAAATTTTTGACAAAATATAGGTTTCTGACACAAAATAAATGTGGTCAAAGATCTTATAAATTCATTGCGCAATACTGTGCAATTGAAGATTTCTTCTTGAAACTTTTAAAAAATTAGAAATTTTAAAAATTTTGAAAAAAAAATATGAATTCCTTAAAAAAAATTGGGAAAAAATTCCCCCCCCCCCCAACTTTTTGAAACCCCCCTTGGAGCAATAACCCCAAAACTCAATCCCAGCCTTTCCTTTGTAGTATGGAACCTTGTAGTACAATTTCAGAGAGATCCATACACTTACACACAAGTTATTGTCTGGAAACTAGAAAAATGCTTGTTTTTGGCCCTTTTTTTGCCCCTAATTCCTACATGTTTGGGGCAATTCACCCCAAACTCCATACCAGCCTTCCACTAGTTATATGGAACCTTGTGGTACAATGTCAGAGACATCCATACACTTACACACAAGTTATTGTCTGGAAACTAGAAAAATGCTTGTTTTTGGCCCTTAATTCCTTAACTGTTGGCCCCATAACCCCTAAAATGAATCCCAACCTTCTACTTGGGGTATTAAACATTGTGGTACAATTTCAGAGCAATTGAAATACTTATACACAAGTTATTATCCTGAAACTAGCAAAATGCTTGTTTTGGGCCCCTTTTTGGGCCCCTAATTCCCAAAGGGTTGGAACCATCATCCCCAATATCAATCCCAACCTTCCTTTCGTGGTATTGAACCTTCTTAAAAAATTTCATCAAGATCCATTCACTTAAACTAAAGTTATTGTCCGGAAACCAATGTGTCTTCGGACGACGACGACATCATACGATCCCAAAAATTTTTTTGCAGTCGTATAAAAATTACTTGATATTTAGAAGAAAATAAAAATTTTGCAATTTTTCCATTTATGAAGGAGCATAACTCTAGAACGGTTAAAGTGATGCCACCAAAATTCAAACTTGATCCGTGTTTTGTGGTAATAAGCATTGTATTGGTTGAGGCAAACTCAAGTTAGAGAACAGAAACCAATTTTGGGACGTACGTACAGACAGACAAGGGTAAAACTTAATGCCCCCACCGCTATAGCGGTGCATAACAAAAAAAATAAAGATATTATGATGTAAATTAAAGGTAATTAGGACATGACATTACAGTACTTAGTTCCATGTTATTGTACAAATACAGACATGACATTACAGTACTTAGTTCCATGTTATTGTACAAATAAAGACATGACATTACAGTACTTAGTTCCATGTTATTGTACAAATACAGACATGACATTACAGTACTTAGTTCCATGTTATTGTACAAATACAGACATGACATTACAGTACTTAGTTCCATGTTATTGTACAAATACAGTTATTCCACATTTTGAGTTTTTTCTGACAAAAAAACTTATTACTGAATACATGTCCATCTCAGGTCATGTTCCTCTAATTTCAACTGTTTTGAAACATATGCTTTATTGCAGTCTGTTTTTATATGTTTGTATACAACATGTTTAACCCTGCCGCATTTTTGCACCTGTTCCAAGTCAGTGGCCTCTGGTCTTTGTTAGTCTTGTATGTTTTTAATTTTACTTCATTTATATGTTTCGGAGTTTAGTGTGACGTCCATTTTCACTGAATTAGTACACATTTTTGTTTAGGGGTCAGCTGAAGCCCGCCTCCGGGTGCAGGATTTTCTCGCTGTGTTGAAGACCCATTGGTGACCTTGGGCTGTTTTCTGCTCTTTGATTGGGTTGTTGTCTCTTTGACACATTCCCCATTTCCATTCTCAATTTTAAGTTATACTACTTGTAGTTTACAAATGACCACAACCTAGACATATCAGAATACCAGTTCTGATAAAAAAATCACTATATTTTTTAGTATAAAGCAAGTATACTGTTTAATATGGTCTAAAAGAAAATTCAAACTTCATAGAATTTGATCATTTCTGATGCAACAGAAAAATAGGCGAAATGAATTCATTAACCAATCCTCAATTCCATACATTTGAGTTTATATCGTAATATATTTATATATATATACTTCAATTGTTTTGCGTAATAGATCAGCTGGCATCAAGCAAACATAAGTAACTACTCATAATGCAATAGAAAAATGTGTTATAGTAACCAAAAAAGAAGAATCAAAGAGCTGAAAGCTCTGAGGAAAAATGACGCCACTGTCTCTAATATTGTGATATTTTTTATGCAAGTCTTGATTTTCACATACCGTAATTAGTTTAACATTCCAACATGTCTCGTAAGCATATAATTGATATTCGTATATGTGTGTGTTATGTGAAGATGACAACTGGCTGTTTTTTTAGTACAAATGTATAGGTCAAGACTACCTGAATGATCTACAGTATCCAATGACTACTGTCTGTTTTTTTCTATAAATAAATAGGTCAAGACTACCATAATGATCTACAATATCCAATGACTACTGGCTGTTCTTTTGTACTAATAAATAGGTCAAGACTATTTGAATGATCTACAATATCCAATGACTACTGGCTGTTCTTTTGTACATATAAATAAAGACTACCTGAATGATCTAAAGTATTCTAAGTAATGTGATTTTTGTCTTGCAATTACATTTTTCTAAATCAAGAATATAGACTACTAGTATCCTTTTCAAACCAAATGATTTACTTGAAGCAAATTATATTTCTGTAGATTTAGACAATAGTATAATATTGTTTTACTAGTTTTATTTCACCTTGAAGATTAGACAAATAGGGAAACTCCTTTGATTTTTTATTTCATGTCAGTCAGGTCGCTTTATATGAAACTTGAAACCACTTCTCTGCCATATTGTTATTTTATAACAACTCTGCCCTTGACCATGTTGACCCATGTAATCGATATTCATTCTTTAACCATATATCATAATCAGTTAGTTTTTGATTTTGCACTCCCACACCACCTTTCAGGTCAAATGTCTGTCTCCATTTAAGTTAATGACATTGAACAATCGTGGTATTAAACACAATTTCAATAGTGATAATGCTGTTCTAGTAGGTCACCATATATTCAACTTGGGTAGCATTCCAGTTATTGAAATTTTTGTCAGATTAGAACAATGATCTAGACCTTTAGGAATGGATCTTACAATTTAATATGGAGCCATAGTATGGGACTCCTACACGGTAACAAAAAAAAACAAGCTTGAAAGGATACGTCAAGCGGCAAAATCTATCACCAGAAATTACAAGTCAAGAGAGGATGGACGGGATACGTCTCTAAAATGCTTGCCTAACTGGAACTACAACAAGATCTCCAGACAAGACGAACAAGGAGTTGAAGCCAGAAGTTAATATTTATGTAAAAAGTAGTTGAGGGGCTGATTCCCGCTATTGAACCATACTGTCATTCTATAATATTATTGCGTAAGGATTTCTGTATTGTCCTTGTTATTGGTCCATGTCTTGGTGTATTGGTCTGAGGGGAAGCCGAAGGCCAATACTGCTGGCCGAGGACCAACAATAACGCCAATACAGAAATACATGTAATAGTATCTTTATTAATTATTAAACTACAGTGTTACAATATTTTTTTATTTCATTTCACAAGAGATAAACATTTTTACCTTGAAGTGGAACTATCCAAATCTCAGTTTCTTTTTATAAGATGCAATATCTAATGATTTGGTGCCGTCTCCATGTATCTTCAGCCTTTTCTCATCTGATGAATTTTTCTACCCTTTCCAGTCACTATAAAGTGTTACAACTTTAATTTAGACACAACACATAAATAGTAATTGGAAAGGTACTGCCATTGCATGTGTAATGCAAATATATTTTTAAAAAAAATAATGTAAGAGTTGAAATTGATACAACTATCCATAAGCCAATTGACCAAAGAACGAAGATTTGCACAATTACAGAATGCATATGCCTGTTTCGGGTTTAAAAATAAAAGACCGTTTACAAAACATGAGAAGCGAAAGTGAACAGTAAAAATCGATTTGTACCATCGACAAGACGACATGATGAAATTATGAGGTCGTCAAGAAATGAACTTTGTGATAATTTACTCGTTCCCCAAACCTGAAATAATTCCGTCGTCTACTTTCAAAATGCTTTTCAAATGAATGGGACCGTCTTTAACCTAAAATATATGCCCTACTGAACGTTTCAGCTTGTTTATGGTGAGTCAGAGACATATATATGTCTCTGGTACAAACAACTGATATATGTCTCTGGTACAAACAACTGATATATGTCTCTGGTACAAACAACTGTTTACTTTCAGTTTGAGTTTATCGTGACTTACAATCTAAAAACTTGAGACGTTCCGAAATCCTGTTTTGGCCGGATCAGAACTCGGCCAATACGGAAAAAAAATCTGTATTGGCCGAGTTGACATCTTATATTGCATATGCAGTTTTCATCATATTAAGTACAATAACAGTGTAGTTAATTAATAATGATACAGTTACAGACTCTGCTGCTATAACTTTGTAAACAAAGATTCATACGCACCGCGTGGGTATAACCGTATTACTAATTTCCGATTATTAAAATCTTCGTAAATCTGGATAAAGACCAGTTTCTATCCAATGGATATCAAAATGATTCCGATTATTACTTTTTTAATGATTGTAAAGTTGAAATGGCATGAAAGGCTGACATTATTTAGGAGAACTATTTTGTCTAGCGATTGCTGATCATTGGAGGGTAAAAAGTCCAACACCACAACAAAACGGATCTATTTATCATGTATACATACCGATTGTTTACGATTGTAAGACATGTGCATAAAAGTGAAAGCTCGAATAAATATGAAAAATATAACAAAGGGATAGCTCCAAATACCATTAAATAACAAAAAACATATGGACAGGTCAAGGATTTGTATAGTGAGAAATCACTATACAAATCCTTGGACAGGTCAAGGTATCTTTTTGGTAAATAAAATAACGTAGGTAAACTGGTTCTCGTCCGACTACAACACTTTAACAAAGACTTTGTTCGAGTGTAGCGTAATACAAGCAGATTCCAGTTAGTATGTAAAATAGTAAATATGAAACCGAGTGCGGTAGGCGGAGGCATAATCAACTTCCATTACTTCTGGTCAATGGTATCGGAAACATGCCGCTGATAGCGTCATTTTCCAAAAATACATTAAATTCCATTTGAACTCGATATGGATTTCAATGCAATGCTGAATTCACAACTGTGCAAAATCAAATAAACGATTATTGCAGTTGATGTGCAAAAATCAACAACAATCAAACTTCTTGCATATATTTATATCTGCAAATATAATATTCACAGCAAACTTAAAATATATTGTGTATATATATAATATGATTTGAATATGAATATGTAAATTGAGTATACTGGGTAAATGAAACAAATATATTGAATGCAATACATGATCACAGGATATACTCTTATGGCAATACAAAGTAAACATTCTGTTTCTGAACTTTAAGCCTTTTCTTTCCAGTGATTCAATTTATCTTGTCTAAAATTTATTATCACTATAAACTACAATCCAATTTTGATTTGAAAACAAGAAATGGGAGATAATGCTTAGTTCAATTAGTCTACCATTAAATGTTGTATTATGAAAAAAAATTACAAAAATAAAAGTGCAAATAAACAATTGATGAATACTATTTTAAATGATTAAAAAAAAACAGAATATTTGCTTTCATTGACCTAAAATATTGTGATAGTTTGGAAAACATGTTGTGATATGCAATGGAGTTTCAGTCACATATGATATGCTATTTGGTTTTTGGTCACATGATATTGATGTGGTATTAAATATGAAAACAGACAAAACAATAGAGTTGGGGAAGATAATTTCCTATACTAAAATTTTTAATTCTAAAATACTAAAGTATGTCTTGATGATTTATGTTTAAAAAAAATAAAGGCTAAACAATTGATGACTTTCTGGTTACAAGCCCAAAATTAGGATGGATTGGTAGGTCATACAAAGACCAAATAAACGTTTTTTTATCATTGATTCCAAACATTTTGTGCCAAAAGTGTAACAGACATAACAATTAAACAGTGGGTCTTGTAACTAAAAAAATTACATTTTTTGTTTAGGCCTTTTCTTTTTTAAGTTTTGTTACTGACACTACATTTAAGCGCTCTGAAGTTTGTAGCTAATATGCATTTTTGTTCATTCCTGTTTGTCAGTTTTGAAAAAAAAGTAAATGCACCTTTAAATCAATTATAATAAAGTTTCCTTAAATTTTTATATAAATATCACAGCATGATAAATATGAATGATTATGAATGTGTTCAATAAAATGACAATTACAAATGAGATTGCAGTGCAACACACTGCTTTCAAAAGAAATTTCCCCAACATCCTAGGTTACCTTGATCTAGTTAATAAATTAAATATTCGACTTCCTTGGAAACTTTCAGCAGAAATTTCTGACAGGGAACCTGAACCTGAAGTTTCAGATTCCTCCTTAGATGAATCAGACATAGGCTGAACTGTCTGTACTACTGTTTCTCTGAAATCACATTCCCTGTCAATTGGTGCATTGTAAAGGTACTTGGTTGAAATAAATTATTTGCAATTCTAGTTTTATGATACGCAAGGATTATATTTAGTTGCCTGACAAATTTTCAATAAATATTAATATTTTCAAAAATGAAAAAAATAATTGAAAATTTAGAATTTTCCTTCTAAATTTTCCTTGAAAAATTGTGATTTTATTGTAAATAACCAACTTACCCCATGGTACTAATCATGGATTGTCTCCCTGTACCAAAACTTCCTGTCCCTGTTCCAGTACCAAGTTCTAAATATAAAGATACAAATATTTAAGTCTTTCAAGTAAATTGAACCTACAACTAATTTTGGTTCAAAGAAAACTTGGTTTTACTTAAAATGTCAGCCATTTAACTGTTCTGATATATTTACAAACGAAAGTGAACCAACGCCTGGTGAGTCTGTAGTGAGTTAGAGTCCCTGAAGTGGATACCTCGGGTATGCAGGGTCGTTATGATGAAACACAATAATGTAGAAAGTCTTATAACAACAACACTGGAGGGACTGCTGCAGAAAATTTATTGATCGACATGTTTCGGTGCCTAGGGCACCGTCATCAGGATACAAATAATACATTGAACATACTTAAGTGTACAATCGGGTTGTCTTGTGACAACGTCATAGTATAGTAGTTGTTATGAAAGGGAAGTAATAGTGAAAGTATAAATAGAAAATGTATATAAATAGATTGTCAACATGAAAATGAAAGTAAATTAAAATTATTTGTATATCAACTCTGTGTTATTATTGTCTCAGCTAAAAATGTTATAAATAGAATGTACAAACACATGTCTGTCCCATAGTTCTTCCGGTAGCTCATCTAAACATATGGTTTCATCACTGCTGCTTGTTGTCAGGTCTATGTAGTCTTCCTGAGTAAGGTCCATGACATAACCGTAATCGTTTGTTATGTATTGCGGAGTGTTATTTAAAGAAGAGTCGGAATCCGACAGGTACAGGTCTTGTTCCAAATCACTTGTTGAGGGTTTTTTCGGTTTTGAGGTGGATGATTGGTGATACTCATACGGTGATTTAGCTGGTATTGTCCTGAATGTAGGTGTTTTCCCGTTCCATTCTTTTTTCTGTACGGCTTCAAATGGTGGTCTCCATTTTTCTATTGCTTTGGCCATTTCACGAGGATTTTGTTGGAAGCTATTATAATCTTCTCTGGCTTTATCTGGGTGTTTTGATTTAAGGTGTGTTACGGCATTTGATTTTCTAGTGAAGGTTGCAACACAATGTTTGCATTCAAACATTGTTGCGACTGGTTCGTGGCGTTCCTTATGGTGTCTTCGTAAAGTAGAAATACTGCAGAAAGTTTTCGGGCATTTTTTGCAATTAAATCGTCTTGTGAAAGTTCCTGTAGTTTCTTTTCTTTTGGTAATCTTTGTATTAGCCATATCGTCTGTTAAGGCCCCAGGGTTCGGTGCTTCCAAATTTATGTATAAGAGCTTCTTCCGTTCTTAGTCTGACGTTTATGTTTTGTTCTGTGGTTGTTATGCCTGTTATGGTGACGTCGTGTTTATTGTGACCATTTGAGGTGAAGTGTTTCGAGACTGGTTTTGTATTATTCTCAGTGTTGATGTCCTGTAGATGTCCCCTGAATCTTTCTTTTAGGCTGTTTCCCGTTTGACCAATGTATTGTTTTTTGCATTGTTTGCATTCTATTAAATACACCACACTTTCTGTGTTGCATGTAATTTCGTGTTTAATATCTATTTGGTAACTGTTTACGGTACTTTTTGCACTTTCTGCGGTTTTCATTAATCTACAGAGATAGCAATTCTTTCCGCAAGGGTGGCTACCCTTACGGGTTTGTTTGCGTACAATTTCGGTTTTTACTAGTATTTGTTTGATTGATAAGGCTCGTCTATATGAAACAATGAGTTTTTGTTTCGCGAGGGTTTGAGTTTCAGGAGTTCTTTTGAGGATATCTTTCCTCTGGTTGATGGTTCCGTTAAGATTTTTTATTTTTGGATGGTAGTTGATTACTAATGGAATCATATCTGGCTTCACGGGTTGGTCAGTTTCCTTTGGTTTTAACAAATCATTTCGATTTAACGACTTTGCTTTTGAAATTGCAGAATCGACAACCTGTCGGGGATAACCCCGAGTCAGGAGATGTTCTTTCAGACGGTTTGTGTGAAATTCGAAATCATTGATTTCTGTACAAATTCGTCTTATTCTCAGTGCTTGACTGAATGGAATACTTTCTTTTTGGTGTTTCGGGTGGCATGAGTTGTAATGTAAGAAGAGGTGTGCATCTGTTGGTTTTGTGTATAGAGTTGTGTGGAGTTTTCCTTGGTTATTAACTACCGTTGTATCTAGGAAATCGACCTTTTCTGTACTTATGTGGCTTGTGAATTTTATACTAGGATGGAATTGGTTGAGGGCACTGATGAAGGAATCTAGATCCTTGCGTGTATGTGGCCATATGAAAAATATGTCGTCTATATATCTCCACCATACTAATGGTTTAAGTACTTGTGTTTTTAGGAATTCTCTCTCTAATTTGTCCATAAATATAATGGCGTATTCCGGAGCCATAATTGTTCCCATGCTTGTTCCCATAATTTGCATGTAGTATTTATTGCCGAATTTAAAACAATTTTTGGTTAAGATAAAGTGCATAAATCTAAGAAGTATCCAAGTTGCTGGTGAATTTTCTTGTCTGTTGTTCAGTATTTCTTTTGCTGCTAGTATTCCTTCTCTGTGTGGAATGGTTGTATACAGTGAGCTTACATCTGCCGTTACTAGAAGGCTGTTGGGTGGTATATCGCCTAGCGATTCGATTTTTTGTAGAAAATGTGTGGTATCTTTAATATACGACGGTATATCTTTGATGAAAGGTTTTAGATAATGGTCCACAACTTTTGACATATTTGCAGTAGGAGAGTTTATTTGTGAAATAATTGGTCTACCTGGATTTCCTGTTTTGTGAATTTTTGGGAGAAGGTAAAATAGTGGCGTTCGCCAGTGTTTTTGTAATAAGAATTCGTGTAGAGTTTGGGGTAGTTTGTGTTTTATATCGAGAATGAATTCTTTTATTTCTTTGGCGATTTTGGGGTTGAGATCTTTATTTACTTCCTCGTAAAAAGTAGTGTTAGAAAGTTGACGGTCTGCTTCTCGCATGTAATCTATGGTATCCATAATAACGATTGCTCCTCCTTTGTCTGCTGGTTTAAGTGTAATGGTCTGATCATTTTTTAATTCATTTAAGGCTCTAAATTGATTTCGGTTGAGGTTTTTTCTTATAAATCCTGTTTTCGGAATTTGTGAGATATCATCAGAAGTAAGGTTTAAAAATGTATCCAAATCTTTATTTCTTCCCGCTGGTGGTGTCCATCCTGTAGGTAATTTAAACGGGTTGGGAGTATATGTGCTTTCACTGGTATCGTTCTTTTTTTGAAAATGGTGTTTCAGGCGTATTCTTCTATTAAAAATTAGTGTATCTCTGAAAAGTTCTAACTCATTTAGTGGGCCTGGTGTTGGACAGAAACTTAATCCTTTTTGTAGCACTGAGTGTTGGGCATATGTTAATTGTTTTTTGCTCAAATTTATTACGGCACATGTATCCTTTTGTGGTTTATTCTTAATTTTCTTATAAATGTTGTGTTTAATGAATTTTCTGGTTCTCGGCATTTTCGGGGGTTGGGTGATTTATTGTTGCTTAGCTGGATTCGCGGGTCGTTTGCTAATTTCGTCTTCGACGGATAGCTTTGTTTTCTGTATTAAACTTGTTATGTGTTCCATTTCAGTGTCAGTTGTTTTGTCTTTTAATCTAATTTCCATAGTTGCAATTTGAGATGAAATTATTTCGCATCGGTTGTTCCAATATTTAATTAAAAGTTTCACTAATGTTCTGCCAAATTCTAGTTGTGCGTCTTCCCATTCGAAAAGGAATTCGGGAGTTGTATCGGGTACTTGGGGTTGTATATTTGATTTAAGTGTCTTGGGTACCATATCCCTTATTTCACATCGGGTTAAGTAAGCCTTATGCTGTTCACAACGGACCAATTTAACATTTAATTTACGGTAAGTTCTAAAAAGTGAAACATTCTTTTCTTGAATTCTGGTCGGGTTTATTCCTGTTTGAAAGGCTTCTTGTTCGATCCTTTTTCTTTTGTTTGCCTGGATGGTACTGGCACTTCTGGAAGGCTCCAATGGTGCCTCAACAAAATCTTCGTTATTTCCTTCGTTCAAAGACATAGCTGCGGGTGGCTGGGAAGGTCAGCGCTGCTGGCAACGGCGGTTCCAAAAGGAATGCAAGGGGTTCACGATAAAACAATAAACAATTACAAACGAAAGTGAACCAACGCCTGGTGAGTCTGTAGTGAGTTAGAGTCCCTGAAGTGGATACCTCGGGTATGCAGGGTCGTTATGATGAAACACAATAATGTAGAAAGTCTTATAACAACAACACTGGAGGGACTGCTGCAGAAAATTTATTGATCGACATGTTTCGGTGCCTAGGGCACCGTCATCAGGATACAAATAATACATTGAACATACTTAAGTGTACAATCGGGTTGTCTTGTGACAACGTCATAGTATAGTAGTTGTTATGAAAGGGAAGTAATAGTGAAAGTATAAATAGAAAATGTATATAAATAGATTGTCAACATGAAAATGAAAGTAAATTAAAATTATTTGTATATCAACTCTGTGTTATTATTGTCTCAGCTAAAAATGTTATAAATAGAATGTACAAACACATGTCTGTCCCATAGTTCTTCCGGTAGCTCATCTAAACATATGGTTTCATCACTGCTGCTTGTTGTCAGGTCTATGTAGTCTTCCTGAGTAAGGTCCATGACATAACCGTAATCGTTTGTTATGTATTGCGGAGTGTTATTTAAAGAAGAGTCGGAATCCGACAGGTACAGGTCTTGTTCCAAATCACTTGTTGAGGGTTTTTTCGGTTTTGAGGTGGATGATTGGTGATACTCATACGGTGATTTAGCTGGTATTGTCCTGAATGTAGGTGTTTTCCCGTTCCATTCTTTTTTCTGTACGGCTTCAAATGGTGGTCTCCATTTTTCTATTGCTTTGGCCATTTCACGAGGATTTTGTTGGAAGCTATTATAATCTTCTCTGGCTTTATCTGGGTGTTTTGATTTAAGGTGTGTTACGGCATTTGATTTTCTAGTGAAGGTTGCAACACAATGTTTGCATTCAAACATTGTTGCGACTGGTTCGTGGCGTTCCTTATGGTGTCTTCGTAAAGTAGAAATACTGCAGAAAGTTTTC